TTGATATGCAAGGCTGATTAAGTGTATATATTTAAATGTCCTTTTCAGTGATTTGTGTTTTTCTGTTTTCGTTCTAGTGCTTTCCTGGTTCGTATCACCTGTTTTATCTGGTATCGTGTCATCTGTGTTGTTCTGGTGTATACGTCGCTTCATACTGAACACGGTAGGCCGAAAATAGTTATGGAAATAGTCCAATGACCAAATAGTTTGGAAATAGTTTAATAATAGTAAAGTATAGTAAAGTAGTAAAATAAAGTATTTTAAAGTCAAGTTATTTATTTATTTAAGTTATTAAGTTATTTATAAAAGTTAAGTATTTTAAAGTAAAGTAAAGTAAAGTAAAGTAGTAAAGTATAGTAAAATAGTAAAGTAATAGTTTAATAATAGTAATGGAAATAGTTTAATAACCACACCATGCTATCACATTATCACTCTAACTAGCTATGCGCGGTTGTTACGGGCTCGCCCATGATTGATAAGATGTGGTTATGTATATAGCTTAGAGGTAGGGTTAGAGGTAGGGTATGCATATCGGGTACTGCATGACGACCGGTCTCTAACAAAAAATAAAATATTTTAAAAAAATTGTGAAAAAATCAATACGTTGAAGCTAACTAGCTAGCTGTGTGTATGTGTGTGTTTGACAGGAACATGTGCTGGAGAGAGGATTGATGTCTATGCCGTTCTTTTACGCAGTCACGATAGCTGTCAACCTATTTTCCATTTTTCACGATGGATCTGCAAGTAGGTTTGTCTACAACGACATCAATTGCTTTGAAAATGTCTTCATCAAAATTTCGACATATCAGCGTTCATTAGGACCAGCTATCCGGTCATGTTAAACCCGTCCAACACTTTTAAGAAGAGTATACTTATACTATGTATACTTTGCGAGAGCTACTTCTATTCAAGTTCTATTCTATATTATTAACCCTGCGTGGTTTTCTCTATTTATGCTACACACTTCAGTCTTAAATGATCGATGTGTGATGCTGAAAAGGTAAGTGCTTTATGATTATGAAGACTTTAATTATAAGCGTTTATTTAATAAGCGTTTTGACGTAGAAATTTTCTCCATGAATCCGTAGTTGACAAAATATCTATGCTGTTTTGAAGGGTTAAACATTTATAGTGGATTGAACCACAAGGAAGAAAGACCATGCTTTGCCAAAATATTATACAAGTGAATGACTTGACGCTTAATAAACAGATGAAATCCCCCACGATTGCTCGAGGATGCAGGATTTAAAGCCATGCTAAAATATTATTGGAGGGAGAGTCATTCTAATTAAACATCTAGGTTTTCAGGTTTTCATGATTTTTGTCAGCGATTTAAATCCCTCACACTGACGACCTGCTGTTGTGTTTGCGAGTAGTCGCACGTAATGGCAATTGCCATAAAATATAATGGATTTAAAAACTAATGATTTTGTACATCAAACAGCCCTAACTAATAAAGATAAATACGATTAATGTGCTTTTATTAGAGTCACTAACCATTAAGAAAAAAAGAAAACAGGTTTCCCCTGCATTAAAATTGCATGTGTGTGTTAATTGCTTTAAGCCTAGCGCAGACCTGCGATTTTTGGTTGCCCGTCGCTGCAACCAGCAACCGTGCGCACACATGCGATTTCGAAGCAATTCTATGGCAATTTGGGAGCGATTGGGAGCAACGAGTCGCTCAAAATCAAAACAGTTTGATTTCTTGCAAATCGTCGCAAGCGGCCAGAATCGCTGCGGGTTGCAGTTGCACGTTCCCGCAGACGTAGCGATTTCACCGCAATTTTTACAGCGATTCTAGAATCGCTGTCGAGTTGCATGAAAAAGTCGCAGGTCTGCGCTAGGCTTTACGCATTGCATACAATAACCAGTTTTGCAACATAAAGAGCATTTTCAATAACTCAACACTTTTATAATGCCACTCAGCCGTTTTTTTAGAATAGAATTGAGTTTATTTCAAAAGCGTGATTTCGTGACAAAAGTGGTAAACATTTACAAAAGGTTTAATTTTTTATTAAACATGAGGGCTATTATTAAAGTTGCTTTTTATTACCATTTTTTATTACGTTTATATTATTATGGATTTTACAACCATTCTATCATGAGCGTTTCGTCTGTTGCCCGCCTTTGCAAAGGCGTTAGGGACGAAAGCCCTTGGTTACGATGCCTTAATTTGCGCACGTCAAACGACTCATGGCCACGGCACCACTTGTTTTTAACGGTTTTGTGGTATATGCCGTGCTAATTTTTCCCATTGCAGTGCTTGGATTCGACAAGATTCCTCTCTACGGTGCTATAATCCTGTCGGTGGGCACAGGCACCATCGTAGGGGCGCTCTCTTGGTTTATGCTTGCGCCCTGGTTGCGGCGGAAGGTGACGGGCACGTTAGATGCTACGCCGCCATCAGATATGAGCGCTGTTGCCAGCAGTGCCGCCCTTGTGCTAAACATGCAAGGTTTGACACCCAGCACCACACCAGGAGTTACACCAGCGCAGACGCCTAAGTAAGTAACGCCATGGAGTTTCATCAGTCCTTACTAGCAAACTGCGTATTCGAGCATATTTACGCCCCTCATCGCTATCGCGCGCCATGCGAACCATTTTGATTCAAATGGAATCAAGATATGCATGTTTGAGCTATTCGACAGAAACAGAAACCGGATCTACCAAAGAGACCCGTAACAAGTATATCACTATTCGACACTCGCAAATTTCCGCGTTCTTGGACTTATATCGTAGTCGCCGTAGTTGCGTATAAAGAACAGATTTTTGGCTCTCTCATGCATCATCATGTATATCTTCAGACACACTCCCGCTCACACGCCCGCGGCGTCCCCGTCTGGTTCTCCCAAGACTCGCCGCAAGAAGAAGCTGGAGACTATTGAGGAGGCGGATAGGCTCCAGTTGGAGCAGCACCTACCTGCCGCCCTGGCTAGCATCACGCCACGCGAGCACAGCGACGCCACCAGCAAGCAGCTGCCGGAGACTGGTACTGGCGAAGTGTCACTCGCACCCGGCGAACAGGGAAAGAGCAAAAAGGTGCACCGACCTTCCGTGTATGGTACATGATCTTATATGAATTGAATGATGTCATATGAGCAAGCAGTACTCGCACGAGCGAATATGTTACGAACCGTATAGTCGTCGCTTGTCGTCAGTACGACGGAAGCCAATTTTGTGGAATAAAAGGCAGCAGGCTGAACGCGGGGTTGTTAATGGCATACGGGATCCTGGGCGTTATTCAGCCAAGTAAGAACGTTGTACAACTAATATCCTAAGGGATGCGACCGCCTTCCTGGTGCGATGAATCAGGATATTAATTACCACTTCGTATAACCAATTCATGTTAGATTGGCAAATCAGGCTCAGTTTGATGAAAAATCGCACGTCACGTTATGCCAATGCACTCTATTATCAGTCGTAATAATTATTAGGACGAGCTTACGATATGATCTATTCACAATCGAGGCGTATTTGGATTGCAGGTAATGTTTCAGGACGGTTCTTCTTCGTCTCTTGAAAGCAGCTCGTCATCGACAAAGCTGTTTAACTCCGAGAAAGATAAGGAAAAGTTCGTGGCAGTGAGTATGATATTACACACGATGTATGATATTACAAACGATAAGCTTTGTTCAACAAATTAACCATTCTGCGTCGCCAACGCATGCAGGGCGGTAGCCTGCGGGGGGAAGGGGGAGGGGGGCAGCTGCCCCCTAGATTTTGGAGCAAAATTACAAAAATAAATTGTTCTACTGAAAGAGAATTGTCGTAGTCAAAATGAAGGCTGTACATGTACTCAAAAGTGCTTCAAATACCATCTCCTGCTATCTACATTTTCAAAATTGACAGACCCCAGACCCCACCGTTTTTCACCCCCTCATTGAAATCATAGATCCGCCACTGCCCCCCTTAGGTATTTGCTCAGCCTACGCCCCTGACATGTCGCCTAACAAGTGATGTATCCAGTGGCGTAGACAGGTCCTCAGTTGTGGGGGGGATGATTTCGCTGTTACTTCGCATGCAATAATGTATATGAAGATGGTGCGCGAGCAGCGCACACCGGCCAGCGCTGTTGGCACGCAAAGCCGCTTAATGGTGGGGTCCAGGGGGCGGAGCCCCCGGGAAGCTCTTGATTTTAGCAATTTATAACGCTTCAAGATGGTCGTGTTTTGAGGTAATTTAAAAAAATTGATATTGTAAGTGGCAATTTTGTGATTCGAGGTAATAGTTTTTCTTGATCCGGGCAGAGGTTTAATAACACGCATCCCCTCGCCACACACGACACACGCAGTGGCGATCTAGAAGTGAATTCTAGGGGGGGGGGGAGGCGAATCATGGCGAGCTCAAGGGCACGAAGCGCGCGCACTGTTGGTGGAATTGTTAAAAAAGTTGCAATCAAAAGCAATGCATTTTGGTACATCTTTATCATAGAATATTCAGAATTTTCCCATCCTTTAGGGGGTGTCCGCCTTGCCTGTTTATGGGGGTTCCAGGGGACCTCCGCCCCGGAAATTTTGTGTGAATAGTAACACCGCGTGGGGCGGCTGGTAGAAGCGTGAGGAGGAGGAAGCGTGCATGGGCCGGGGTGAGTCTTCGATGCAAATTTCCTGCCTATGAGGCAGCAGCTATTAAACAATTCTTTATCAAATAACATCACTGTTGCGTTGAGTATTTTACCTTTGAGGTACACCAAAGACGTAAATGCTTACTACGGCAAATCTGTGCTATACATGTACCATGTTCTCACCTGGGTTGCAGTGCAGGACTTAGCCTTAGGCTAAAATACCTTTAGCCGCTGAAAATGCTAGGGAGGCGACCGCTACCGTGTGCTACCGACCCGCCCCGTTGAGCCACTACAGCATGGAATCATCTCCCTCTGAAATTTTGATAGAACGTATATTTCTACTGAGAAGTGAGAACGCTTAAACTGCAAAAGAAATATGAGAAAAACAACCCAGATTTGAACCAAATAGTGCATATTTTCACACCCTTATACAAAATCGGGATATACTATCCGTCGGGTCTCAGCACCCTGCATCCCCGCCTGCCCAAAAAGTGAGATGAAATTGAATTTTCGGCGAGCATTCAACCCCGGCTGAAAATTCAATTATCCAACCTCTCAATAGGTTATTCTGATTTTGAATAAAGCAAGGATTTATACATTTCGTGAGACAGTGATAAGACGTGGATTTGGGGGATTTTGCAAAAAAAATCGTAATGGGGAATGCGTCCAAAATACCGTCTGAGTTTCAGTAAAATAATGTCAATTCTTGGAACGAATTACAGGCCATTTTAATCAGTAGATGTATGTCACGTTACCATCTGTAAGCAATACATTAGGGGAGAAGTATGAAATAGCGATGACGATTTGTAGTTAAATATCCAGTTTTATTGTCTGTAAAATATTAAATTTTTTCCCAATTTTCTTCTGAAAGTAGGGGGCGTGATGAAAGGCCACCGCCAGGCCTCAATAAGTGTGGGGGATATACCCCCATCCCCCGCTATCTACGCCCCTGTCAGAGAACTCAAATTTGACTTTTTGTATGCATACGAATATTTCATAATTCATAATCTTTGTTAGCAGTACTCTAGCAGTGGTCCGCGGAACGATTTTTGAAGTGGGTGCTAAATTTGTTACGGCTCGAAACAGTGGCGCAATGCAGGATTCGAGAGAGGTGGTAAGAAACAGCGGGGTTGCGGGTCGCTCCCAGAAAATCTTTGAATCCCCCATTTTCCTCACTGAAAGTAGGGGATGATTGTACACGAGGCCAGCGCCCCACCCGCCCGTCAATAAGTGGGGGGGGATGCATTCCCCCCATCCCCCCCGCTATCTACGCCCCTGGATGTATCGACAGACATGTAGCTTGATTTTATTCTGTTATCGACGTGCACGAAATCAGTAGGAGTTTTCCGAAATAAAATAAACGAAAAATTAGTATAAGCGTATTGCGAAGTCGAATGCTTGCTATTGATAGCGGGTTACGCTTCAAAACAATCAAACGATAACCTTTTATACCAACTGAAGCAGGCAACTTTATGCCGCGGATAAGCACATAAAAATGAGCACTTTGTCCACGTTTGTGGAAAATTGTGAACTTGCACACGTACTACTACTACACTTCCACTACAATATTAAATGGCCGATATGTCAAAAATTGCTTAGTCTGCATGAGGTTGCGATAAGTCAAAATGTTCTATGTTTGTCACGCAAACAGGTTATGTAAACAAGATTATAGCTGCAATGCGTAAAGAATGGTAACGTGGTTTATGACTGATATAAGAGTAACTCGTAATGGATACAACCGGCATTATTCACAATATAAATAAATAACTTTTCACACGCGTAATGCTTCCTGATAGGTCTCAGATATAGTGCCAAAAAATTTAGCAGAAATGTAAAACTTTGCACACGTGCGTACGGGGCGCCATGCAGGACAGGCATTTTTGTACCTATAAAGACATTGACGAAAAATGAGTTTTGTGAACACAAACTCAATTCTGTCAATCCTGTCCACAAAACTCAATCTGTTAATCCTTGTCCCCAAAAAATCAGTTTTTGTGAACACAAAACTCAATTCTTGTCAATCCTGTCGCGCACAAATAAACTCAATTTGTGAACACAAAACTCAATTCTGTTAATCCTGTCGGCAAAAACTCAGTTTTGTGAACACCATACTCGAATTCTGTCCAATTCTTGTGCGCACATTAAACTCAATTTGTAAACACAAAACTGCAAATTCGTCAAATACCGGTGCCACAAAAAACTCACACATTTTGTAAAAACACAAACCATCAATTCTGTTCGAAGCCGGTTCACAACATCGATTTTTGTTGCCTCAAATATGCAGCACAGCATGTAAGAAGGGGCTACCCATTGGTCAGAAACTGGGCTGGAGAAAATGTGTCATGTGCCATCTTGTTTGCTTCTGACCAATGGTAGCCTTCTTAGCATGTGTGTGCAATATTTGGGCAACAAAATCGAGTTTTGTGAACCGGTTCGACAGAATTAAGTTTTGTGTACAAAATTGGAGTTTTGTGGACAGGATTGACAGAATTGAGTTGTGTTCAAAAATTGAGTTTTGTGACAGGTTGACAGAATTGAGTTTTGTGTTCACAAAATTGGAGTTTGTGGGACAGGATTGACAGAATTGAGTTTTGTGTTTGCACAAAATTTGACTTTTGTGAAGACAGAAATTGAATTGTGTGGGGCGCACAAAAGTGAAGTTTTTGTGAGAGCAGAATTGAGTTTTGTTAGACAAAATTGAGCCCATGTCCTGCATGGCGCCCCCCGGCGTAGATGCACTACAATGAATTCGTTCTGAAGATTTTCGCGACACTTACGTGCCAATTGCTATATTGGCGCTGTAAGCCACTCGGTGGACTGTAATTGCAGCTATATCGAAAAAATTTTCATGAACGCTCATATGGTAACCATGCGTGTATAAGTTGTCACATTCTAGAACTAAAAGTGGCACAATTCATGGCTTTATTCCCACCGTA